TGTCTTCAAAATTTCCACTCTTACAATGGCTACCAGAGTTTTCCTGAAAGAGAAAGGCAGTGATGAATGCAGCTGGCAACTTACCCTTACAATGTTCTGGTTTAGCATTTGTCAAGACCTTTCACCCGACCTACCCAAAGCAGTTTCTGCTGCAAGGTTATCTACATTTCGGGGTACTAATTTAGCTGTTTTCAGAAGTGCACAAACAATCAGAACTTTCTGGAGTCTAAAGTCAGTAAAAACTAAATAGAAGATCTAGGTCATAGTTACATTTAATCTTTCATTAACTTTACACACAAATGAGTACCAGTTTCCTCGGGGCAGGAAGGTTAACGAGCAAGCAAATGATGACTCTAGCATGGCATGACTTAGGATATGTGCATCCCTGGGTTCTTTACTAATAAGTCAAAACAAACATTGGGAAATCCACAATATCCGGTACAGTCTAATATTTTAGGGGTGTTAAGATCGGGGTTTCTGTGTCACCGCAAACTTCGCCAAGATTACGTTCGGCGTGTCGTCTAGAGTGTGTATTTCCGAGCAGTGGTCTGCCGCACTCCGATATCTATCAAGATCTACTTTTATAAAATACACTAACTGGCAAGGCATCCTCTCGACTGTACACAGAGTTCACACAAAAAACTACACAGCTACATGAAATTAAATATGAATATTAGAAAACTATACACTTAATCTACCACCTCCTTGAATATAAGGCTGTCCTGTGACCCAGTGATTCCCTTGTTTGCGGTAACTTATTAAAGTACCTAGCCATGAATTCTGTCCAGTCCTGAACAATATGTGATAGTGTCCTCCCCCCCCCCCCCCCCCCCCCTAGTGGAATGCTGAAACAGGAGTGTTTAGTCGAAGAAAAGTATAGATACCGCAGCCTAGCTATCAACAGCAAACCGTACCAACCGCTCTTGTAAGCACTAATGTCAGAAAAAGAGGAATGACGGTCTCTGTTATGTTTACATCTGATCAGAACACAGGAAGAAAGCTAACATTTCAGTGGTCAGTTCTGGCAGTATTTTCAAAAGTAATGCACTCAAGATTATTTATCATGGGTATTTCAATCCCTGAGCAGCGGTGGCAAAAACTGGGACTTAAGAGCTAACCACATTTTTTACAAATACTCCTGTCACATTAAGTGGGTGTTCAGGGTAATAAATATGCAGATTATCTAAGACTGTTCTGGCTAAGGGAAGTTACAATGTCATCAAAACCACGCGAGATGCATAACTACGGTGATAAGCACAACCCTATCAGTGGTGGTGAATATAAGGGTGTCAGTTGGAGCTGCCAAGCATTTTATTAACCTTGTCAGCCCCAGGAAACTCTTCCTACTTCTTCATGCTTTTGATGACAATATCTTTGGGCAGCAGTCAATATGCCAATAAAACACCTTTGGTGCTGGTTACAACCGCATATTGCTTAGACGTGGTGGGCACGACTAACATGTTTTTTTTTTAAATGAGACGCACACGAAAAAACAAAAACAAAAAAGATTTTTTGTCACTCACGCCATAACGCGACATCCTTCTGCGCTCTGTAGCCATGTCAACCAAACATAGGTTTTTTTTTGTCAAATGGTATACAGCAGTTTTTCCTGTACTTCATCTGAATTTAATTATATGATTACTTACTTCGGTGCATAAATAAAAAAATCTGAAAAATGGCTGAGTGTAAAAAATCAATTTTTTTAGTGACAAAGAAGTCGCAATAGCTAGCAGGCTTGAATCTCTCCGTTGTTACCCTTTGAAAATGAAGCTTGTTTGTTGGGTGGTCATAGGTTTCCACCCCTTGGATTTTATAAAAAGTGACAGTGTTTCAATTTTTTTGTGTCTTCCTCTTGTTTCTTAGAGTAGTTTCAGAGAATTAAAAGGATACATTAATTTTTAATAAAATTTTGAAAAGTGTCAGTTTAAAAAAAAAAACGTTTTTAACGAAGTAAAAAAAAAATTAACACACAACGGACATGATTTGTCAGTTTATGCTGGTGAGGCTACTGAGATCAGACCACCTATGGATATCTACAGCATAACAGGCCTTACTTAAAGTATATTAAATCCAGTGCTAAAGATATCCCAACAACGGTCCTCTTCCTCCTCCTCCTTCATGTTCAACTGTAAACTCCTGTGGAAATTTCTGGTTGCTCACCCACTTCTGGGCTGACAGGCAGTAGGTCTATTCTTGTTCTCCCCACAATGGGGCCCCGGAACCCACACGAGAAAACAACGGTCCTGAAATCCCATGCACCAAGTGTGGAAGACCTTTACGCGGGCAGGCCGTGCTAGTCACACTCGCCCTCGCCACGGACTGTGAGTACCATGCCACAATATAACACTTTTGTTTGTTTTCCAAGTAAGAGGTGGTGGTGTGGGAGAATCAGGAAAGGAATATAAATACAAGAAAATATTGCAGAAAGGTTTAAAGCAAAGCATTTTAAGACAACAGAGTCAAAATCCTTTGCTCTAATTGAGGACGTCTTCTGATGCGAGCGGGTCTTGCTAGTAACATTTACCACTGTCAAGGGTTCTGATTCCCATTCTCAGGGTACAATACTATTAAATGGAAAGACAGAAAGGTGTCAACAAAAACACCCCCAAGTGCGACTGCTTCCAAGACAGGGGTCCAAGTTACAACCCCCGGAACCCTCTTGAAGGTCTGCCATGAACCACCCCATACTTTTCAACACTCACACTGAAGAAATAATTATAAAATATCTGAATTGCAATCTGGGGTTCGTTGTAGGCAAAGCAAGAATAAATCAACTGCCTACTTTTGACAAAAAAGAAAAAGCATGCTGTACAAGTAGAATAATTGAAAGCTTCCTTAAAAGTCATAGTGCATTTGCCTGAGTGGCAAGGAACAACAACCAGCACAAAGGCCAGGAAAATGCATGTACATGCAAAACTCAGGCCTTGGCACAAAGCCACAGTAAAAATATGAACAACCAGGACTTTCCATTGAAGCTCACAGCCGGTGAACAAAGAAGCAACAGCAGGCTCAGCAATTATTTTGGAAAGTCGTAACGGTTTAGCGGCTGAACCCTTGCCTGCGGATCAGGATGTTGTAGGGGGAAATTTAGAAAGGATAAAGCAGACAATGACTGCAGATAGGTTAAGAGCTGAGAGAATCTAAGAAAAATCACAAATACATGCTGCCACAAAAATGGAACTAAAATCCTATGTTCTGATTACGGAGGACTTTTCATGAGTGGGACTGGTCTTACTAGTCAAATGGAACTAAAATCCTACGCTCTAATAGCGGAGGACTTTTTATGAATGGGACTGGTCTTACTAGTCAAATGGAACTAAAATCCTACGCTCTAATAGCGGAGGACTTTTTATGAGTGGGACTGGTCTTACTAGTCAAATGGAACTAAAATCCTACGCTCTAATAGCGGAGGACTTTTTATGAGTGGGACTGGTCTTACTAGTCAAATGGAACTAAAATCTTACGCTCTAATAGCGGAGGACTTTTCATGAGTGGGACTGGTCTTACTAGTCAAATGGAACTAAAATCCTACGCTCTAATAGCGGAGGACTTTTTATGAATGGGACTGGTCTTACTAGTCAAATGGAACTAAAATCCTACGCTCTAATAGCGGAGGACTTTTTATGAATGGGACTGGTCTTACTAGTCAAATGGAACTAAAATCCTACGCTCTAATAGCGGAGGACTTTTTATGAATGGGACTGGTCTTACTAGTCAAATGGAACTAAAATCCTACGCTCTAATAGCGGAGGACTTTTTATGAATGGGACTGGTCTTACTAGTCAAATGGAACTAAAATCCTACGCTCTAATAGCGGAGGACTTTTTATGAATGGGACTGGTCTTACTAGTCAAATGGAACTAAAATCCTACGCTCTAATAGCGGAGGACTTTTCATGAGTGGGACTGGTCTTACTAGTCAAATGGAACTAAAATCCTACGCTCTAATAGCGGAGGACTTTTCATGAATGGGACTGGTCTTACTAGTCAAATGGAACTAAAATCCTACGCTCTAATAGCGGAGCACTTTTCATGAATGGGACTGGTCTTACTAGTCAAATGTAACTAAAATCCTACGCTCTAATAGCGGAGCACTTTTCATGAGTGGGACTGGTCTTACTAGTCAAATGGAACTAAAATCCTACGCTCTAATAGCGGAGGACTTTTTATGAATGGGACTGGTCTTACTAGTCAAATGGAACTAAAATCCTACGCTCTAATAGCGGAGGACTTTTTATGAATGGGACTGGTCTTACTAGTCAAATGGAACTAAAATCCTACGCTCTAATAGCGGAGGACTTTTTATGAATGGGACTGGTCTTACTAGTCAAATGGAACTAAAATCCTACGCTCTAATAGCGGAGGACTTTTCGTGAATGTGACTGGTCTTACTAGTCAAATGGTACTAAAATCCTACGCTCTAATAGCGGAGGACTTTTTATGAATGGGACTGGTCTTACTAGTCAAATGGAACTAAAATCCTACGCTCTAATAGCGGAGGACTTTTTATGAATGGGACTGGTCTTACTAGTCAAATGGAACTAAAATCCTACGCTCTAATAGCGGAGGACTTTTCATGAATGGGACTGGTCTTACTAGTCAAATGGAACTAAAATCTTACGCTCTAATAGCGGAAGACTTTTTATGAGTGGGACTGGTCTTACTAGTCAAATGGAACTAAAATCTTACGCTCTAATAGCGGAGGACTTTTTATGAGTGGGACTGGTCTTACTAGTCAAATGGTACTAAAATCCTATGCTCTATTTTCGGAGGACTTTTCATGAGTGGGACTGGTCTTACTAGTCAAACTCGCCCTCTCTATGGACTAAATCTCATTCCATCCTTTAAGACAATATATATTTATGATACATAATATCTGGAAAGAGACGAACAGTTGCCAATCAATTCTAAAAGAAGAAAATCCCCAAAGTTTGCTTAATAAACAACAATACACTGACAAGCCATATGCACAAATGGGACAGACAGTGAAAGTTTGCTAACCTGTTGGTGGAACTGCTTGCATTTTCCTCCTCCTTTCCGCTTCTTCTATATTATTGTCACATTGCAGCAATAAGAACAATGCCTGCAAAGAAACAATAAATCAGAATAAAGATTTATTTTCCGTCAATTACTAAAAGACAGCTAAAAAAAATGGTGTGATAAATACAGACTGACACAGTAACAAAAAAAAAAAAAAAAAAACTAGCACGTCTTTACAATGGAATACACAAGGTCACAAATAAAATAGCACTTAAACACCCCTCCCCCAACCAGCAAAAGTTAGGATGACCTGTGAGACACCTGAGGGCCTACTCTCCAATAAAGGATAACAAGCAGAAAAAGAAAGAAGATACAGAATAAAATGACAGGTTGGAACACAGACATACTGCACAACAAACAAGCAATGGAAACATTCTAGACAAGTGTTTCTCAACCATTTTTTGTGTGCCATGCCCCACCTAAGCTTTTCTAAAATTCTTATGCACTCCCCCACTTCATCCATTTTTCCCATTGGGAAACACTTCTAGATGGTATCAATGAAGCCTCTTAAACAGCAGAATGAGTAACTAAAGACTTCAGGTGCATGCTCACTTAACAGGTTCTCCGCTCAAACTAGTCCCATCTATTAATATACCTTCCATGTATTTGTAATAAAGCCATTGTTTCACCTGACCAGATCCTGAACATCAAGCTCTTCTGTGTTCGTACTGGAAGGGTGGGGAAGGTTATGGTGTGACTGTGATATCTGTCCCTTCAAGCCCAACAGTCAATTTAGGCAAATACTCAAATAGCTTCCTATTAGGACGCTGAAGAGCCCAGATTTTTGATTTCAAAAAGAAAAACTAATAAACACCCAACAATAAGTTTCTACCTGTTCATCATCTCTAATGTGCTTTCCTCGTGGAATGTTGGACACTGTCTGCAACTTTTTATCGACCTCGCGCTGAATATTGCACAGGTACTCATTCAGGGCTGCAAAACGTTTTATCAAAAGAGATCAGTTCACCAGCTTCTAAATATTTAAAACAAAAAGCAATTAGAAACAACAATGCTGATGTGCATCCTCAACGACTAATTTGTCCCCCATCTTTACTTCCCTTAAAATTTTGCTCCACAATGCAGATTCCAGGGCTCCATCAGACCCTATCTGTTTGTTCTTCTGTGTTCACCCAAAGATGTAATAGTGGCGTCTCCATTTACAGCATGGCTGCGATATTTGCACCTTTCCGTCAACACATCTGACTTCTGCGGGCATGTGTGTCAGCCTTCCTGGTTAGTTTTGTGGGACGGTGTAGTCTCATTATTGTGTGATCATCTTTATTTCCGAGGTCATAGGTGGTGCCCCACATCAGATCGGTCCAGTGGTTTGCACTAGCATAGTATTTTATCCGTGTATTTGCAGCCCTTTTCCTGTTAGTATGTTGTTAATGTGTTTGATAAGGCCCTTTACTGTTCATGGCTTCTACTGGTTTCCACAATTTGTTTCCATCTTTGGCTAATTTCAGACTTTCTTTTCTTACCAGGAATTTCTAGTTGTTTGATTTTTTGTTCTTTTGTATTTTCCTGAGACGGCTTTCAGTGAAATGTTTGCTTCAGCTGTTTGTTCTCTCTCTGCTGTCTTCCTGGCCTCTTCCACTTTTCCCTTGAGGATCTGTAGTTCTCTGGTCCAGTATGGTTTGTAATTTTTCCTCGTACCTCTTGGAATAGACTCATATGCTGCTTGCAGTATTGCTATGTTCAGACTTTCCACTACTTCTTGCTGTATCATGTGTTTATGTTTTAACAGTACCTATCTGTCAGCAAAGCAAATTTATCCCAGTCAGCTAGTTTGTAATTCCATCAAGGCAACGGTTTCTGTTCCTGTGGGATATAATCCATATTTACTTGTTTCAATTGTTTGTGATTGCTGCCAGCTAACTGATATAGTACACTGCTATCAGTTGTGTGAAGAATGTCTCTGATTCAGAAGGTTAAGTCAGGAGTGGAAGATTTAAACCAGATTTAATTAAGTAGAAGCTGTGATTGTCGATTAAATGAAGATTGGAGTCTATTTCCCAGTCCTCCACTTCATCTCCTCTGGTGTCAGTATCTGGGTATCCCAATCTTTCTGAGCGAATATTACTTTTGGAGTCTCTCTGGGCTACATACATATATATATTTCTAATTTTCTCATCCTTTATCATATCAACGTGTATAATTTCTGGTTGGTTTTAGACATCTTACTTCACTGCTTGGTACTGAGTTTCGAATAAGTATTAGAACTCCCTTGTACCCTTCTCGGCCGTAGCGTATAGCTTAATATCTTTTGACAGAAAATCTGTGATGGACATTGAGGTGTGTCTCTTGGGTGGAAGACATTGATTTTATCTTCAGGAAGGCGGTTAGTTAAAGACAGTTTTTTAGGACTCCAGCATTCCACTGTAGTATGATGAGTGTTCTGGATATCTGGTCACTAGTTTTTACCCTAATGCCCTGACTCCACAGCACAGGGGTAGGTGCCCACCAGCAGTGTTGGGTGGACCCCTTCGAGGCAAGGGGCCTGGCAGGGCTCCATGAGATCATATCGATATATTTTTTTTTTGTGACATTAAATTTATGGTGTGTCTTTTTTCATCTGGTTCCTCTCCTTCGACCTGGCTGACACAAGAGACTCTACCAGTAGCTAAGCTACAGTCAGCATAGCTCTTAAGGTGACTGGAACACACAAGCTCCTAAACCACTACAAGATGGAGATACATCATAGAGGAGACTAACTAATGTCTTTTAGCTGAGAGTCATGACCCACTTAACATTTTTAAATAAGCACCAATTTACCTAAAGATGTCAAATGATTGGATAAGCTTGGTGCATTTTGTCACCAGTTCCATTTAGAGTAAATGCTTAGCAAGAAATGAAAAATAAGATACAGAAAGATGCACACGGTGAGCTCAAGAACCTTAGCAAGCGTACACACGCCCAAAAAAAATAAAATTTCGTCAAATAACTAGAATAGATAGGACCATCTTACACATGCTCTAGACCTTGTACCTCAAGAAGAAATGGTATAAAGCCCAGAAAGTTTTTTTTTTTTTCGTTTTCAAAAAAAAAAAAAAAAAAAGAATAAACTTAATCAGAAATATGGTTCTGAGCCCAGAGTTCTATTATCAGGTCATCAAGACAAAATGTATGAGGTGTATCATCTGAAGTAGTGAATATGACTAAAGAAGAAAAGGACAAAAGTTCACACTGACTATCCTGTATATGCTTTCTCTCCATACTAAAGTGTTTATGTGTGTGTGTGTGTGTATATATATATATACATACATATGTCATATATATAATATTATAAATATATATAAAGCAAAATACACACAAACATATATATATATATATATATATATATATATATATATATATATATATATATATATATATATATGTTTGTGTGTATTTTGCTTTATATATATTTATAATATATATATATATATACAATCCTAGGCCTATTGGTGAGCAAGATGATGTAATCAGAAAAGTTAACAAGTAAAGAAAAATATTAACCAGTTTCGTCCTTAATTTTTGATGGATCCCACAAAAGTCTGTCTTCGTTCTCATAAGCTGGAGCATCCCCATAGACAGACAGACCAACTGGGATGACTGCTTGGAAGTCAGAGCCAACTTGTATTGTCTGCAGATTCAATAGTAGGCTCTTGTTACAGAAAACATGCAGTGGCAATAAACAGCAGCTGCAAGAATTAGCAACCATGGGGACTTGTTTCAGTAAACAAAACAGTATCTGACAAACATGCACTCAAATGCAACGGCACACTGGCAGGTTGTAAGGTTTTAATCTGTGCAGGAGCAGCCATTTTGTGAACTGTCCTTGGCTCCGGAGTTTGAGAGAGGTAAAACCATCATCTTCAGCAGCCAGTTCCGAACCAGACGGTACCAGTAGCAGTTTGATTATATATTCATCCCGACCTTCCTCTGAGTGTAAATCCCCTGGTCATCCCCCCCCCCACCCTTTTTCGCACTATCATACCACAACTATCTATTAATGCTCCTGCATTTTTCCCCCTGCTCCCAAAGAACCAAAATACCTAGCTTGCGACTTTCAATACACCAGCATGTCCTGTAGAAAAGATTCAAAAGAAGCCAATTATCCAGGACCCCTGAAGCGACGCTTGTCAGTGCACAGAGTACATCTTCTATCCCCTTTCTCTGCCCAGTTTGGGAGACTGTTACTCCGTGTGTGCAGCTGGTTCTAAAACCAACTCCTATAGCCTAGGCTCTGCTGTACAAAGCAACATTTATTCACTTCCGCAACGAGTCCCCATGCACTTCAGCCTCTCTACGCCAAGACATCTGTAAAGATAATCACATAATCTGAGTGGGGTCATGCAGGAGTTGCAGAATTTCTGATTCTGCAGTGCACAGTAGCCAACTCTTGAACTCCGACCCAATGTGATTAAAACCCTTTACAGATCCATTTTTTTAAAGACACCCTGACCAAAACTTTTAGCACCCAGGCTGACACAGCCGAAAATATTCTGGAAATAAAGGAGACTGTCAAGATGATTTCATTACCAACTGGGTGCTGACTGATCTATAAAGCCCAGCATAATAAGAATAAGCCCTAGATCCTACTGGCATAAAAAAGTCCCTAGCCCCTCCACCCTGCAATAAGCTCAAAGCCCCCTAGAGTGTGATATGAAGAAAAAGAGACGATGAGGAAGAGGTAAACATAGTCCCACAGTGAATACCGCCATCACGGTGTGGAGGTCTTAAGCCATCACAGTCTAAACCACAGCATTTGAGGTTGAGGCGCCTAGCTTGGCATCTTGTCACTTTTCTTTCCCACAAATGTCCCCAAGGTTGGGTTTACTTCCAGATAATTACTAGAATTCTGACCTGTCCTGACAGGCTAGCTAACTAACCACTGCGCCACTGCAAAAACAGAGATGAGAAGAAATTGCGGAGAAAGACAGAAAGGGAGGGAGAGGGGGATACAATTATGATAGTGAGTGATGTAGAGAGACAGAAAGAAGATGAAAAGAGAGAACGAACAGTAAGAACTTCGTTTCCTGCACAAGCTGCTAACAAAAGCTGAGGGCCACTGAAACCACTAGGGAGAACAGAGGTGAGAGATGGGGAAGAAAGACATACAGTAAGACTGAGAAAGACAGATACAGTAAGACAGGAAGAGAGATAAGGTAAGACAAGGAGACAGACAGACAGAAAGGGGGTGACATACAGGGATACAGAAAAAAAACAACAGGGATAAAAACAGAAATGGACAGAAAAGTTAAAAAAAAAAGAAGAAGAAAAGAGCGGAAAGAAAGAAAAGCTGCAGCTTCCCTTCTAGCACAACCAAAATTAAGTCCCTGATCTGCCTTGCCATAAGTTTTTAGGTTGTATCTCCTCTTCCTCGGATAAAGCTAGTATCCTGCCTAATGCTCCCCTCCAAACCTAATTACTGTACAACAGAAAGTATTTCAAATCAATTTTAATGTGTTTACAAACAACACACGACAAACTAACATATAAATAAAAATGTCACCTTTTTATGTTCTTCAATTGGCTCATAATTTTCATCCTCTGTTGATGATTCTGAGTCGTCACTTTCATGATGAATGGTAGCTGTAGTTACATTTGTTGGGATGTAGAGGAAACAAAAAGGAAGACGAGTAAGGTAAAGCAAATGACCATCCAGTACTTGTAGATACTAATCATGCTTTCTGGCTCAGATTCTTTGTATCTGACAATCAGATATAAAAATAGTTTTCTTTGATACTGCAAATGCAGATTACTGATTGACATTAAAGTTGCACTTTTTTTTTAGGTACCTTTCAGAGCCAGACCAACCTGAACGTATGAATATACTTCAGTATACACAGAAGAAATATCAATCTGGTCAAAATGTAGTTTACAATCCTCTCTACTTGAGACAAAATCTTAAGGTTTCAATATCATCATAGAGCAAGTCCTTTGCATAAATGTGTCACTACTACCACAGCCTGCCTGAAAAACTGCCGCTCTCTTGCCTTTCCCCACCACATGACACATACCCTGCGCCATCTTGATGCTGGTCAGCCCCTGCCCCTCTTTCCTGCAACCACGCCTCAACTGCTATTCTTTTCAATCCGTCATGGCACTCGTATGGCCATAATATTTTAGTTTCTGGGATATGCTGCTGTTTAATAGCCAATTTCTGATTCTCCAGATCTTTCAGCACTTACTGTCTTCCTTAAATACAGCATGATAATCCACAACATACAGCTGTACGTTGCTTTAGGGAAGATGCATGCTCTCAAAATTTCAGCTGATTTCCTTGCTGGTCTTTAACCACATTTTTAATGTTTAATCTTTGCACTGCCATGAGAATCGTCCTTTTATGGAACCTAGATATTCACACAAATTTTCCATATTTTCAACTAATATTTTTGGGACAGGTTTTGTTTACTGCTTGATTGGATGGACATGATTGAATGTTCTAATCCATTCTATCCATTGAGATATACTTCAACAATTCAATACACAATTAAAAAAATTATGAGGAAAAGTCAATAAGTCAGTCACAAATGGTGGTTTGAAAAGAAGGGGAAAAAAGACGATAACTTGAAAACCGTTTATTTTTACGCATACACTGTGCCTTAATTTTTCAACATAATTTCCACCAATGATAGTCTTATCCCATGTTTTTATCAGTTTTCCCAAAACTGCTGCATAGAACTGCGTGCTGTTTTCTAAACCACATTTTCAATTCACGTTAAACTTCTGCATAATCTGTGAAATGTCTCCCGCCAAGGTGGGTTTTAGTGGACCAAAAGGGTAGAAATCGCTAGGGGTTAAGTCATGGCTGCAAGGTGGATGTTCCAGAAGTTTCTACCCTAAATGGTTAATTGTTTTGCAGAGTTAACTGAGCCAAATGTGGTCTGCCATTTTCATGAAAGAGTAGTACATTTTCTTTAAACTGCAACATGAAGCATCAACAGAAACTTTACAGTATGAATCAGCATTCACATTGTCAACTTTTTTTTTTTTAAACATTAAAAGCAATCCCAGAACACCCAGTATAACCCTCCCTGCTGATGGCTTAACTGTAAATTTTTTAACACAAAACAAAGAAGGATGTTTCCAGCAGGGATGCCATGATTCTGTCCCTCCTTGGACAATGGTTTTTATTAAACAAATACTTTTGCCTCATACCTAAAAGGAGGGTTGGTGTGCTGTGTTGTGATCCACAGCCAGACTACGGTAGCTGCGCCTTTTAGTTCAGCGCATCAGATTTAGGCAGTTTTCTGCTAAAGAAATGCTGCTATGAAAAAGTGTGTCTGTCTTACACTGTCTGTCTGCCCCCCCCCCCCCCATGAAATAACAGTTACAATGCTGGAGGCTTCAATGTAGAGAGAAGATAAGAATCAACCTTTAAAAAAAAATCTGAAATAAAACTTACACCTCAGGAGCCGTTCTGTTTGAGACCGAGACACAATTTTGGTGGGTTCGATGGCAACGCTGCCGTTGTTGTGTTTGTCGTGAGTGGCTGTTTTGATTGCTGCCACTTCGTGGCTTTCCGAATCCTCATCTTCACTGCTAGAGGATGAGTCACTTGTGAGGTCGCCAGTCAACTCTACTGCCCCTGCTCCGGTCGTGTACTGAGCCAAGAGGTCTTCTATGGGCATCTCACTCTCCTAGAGACACATGGATCACAAATGTAGCAAGCACAGCTAAAATGTGGGAAATATAATGCAGCAGAGATTAGGTTTAGATAATACAGAGTTCATAGCCAAATTAGTTTTTTTCAAAGTATTTTTTTGCCTTGTTCAAGGGTGTACCAGGCATACGTAGTACTGTCTTCATGCGCTCACATGTGGATATACACGCACAGATATAGACTTGCTGGCAGAGGGAGCAAATTAAAAGGATGATCATGATTACCATTAGCAAAACTGAATGTTGGATAGTTTCAAACAATTTGATTTTTAAATGTTTGCTGTATATATGGTAACGGCAACGCAATCAAACCAGTGGGTAATTTGCTATGTGAAGGTCACACACTGATATACAGAGAGAGATGAGAAATGACAAAAATGAGAATAAGTTACACAGAAAAGAAACAAGTGCTGACATTTCGACAACTGTAGCTACCAAAACCACCAGGAAAAGAATCTATGGAATAGTAAAGCAGTCACAAACCAATTAAAATGAGAAAACCCTTGATAAGAGATGAAGAGAAAGACATTAAAAAATATATCTACATAGAAATCTTAAACAGAAAGGGTAGAATCAATTTCAAGTGACATGGGAGTACAAGCACTGTCAACTCTAGACCAAATACTTGAACGGGAGAGAGAGACTGACAAAGGTGACAAAGGCACAGGAGGAAAGGAAAGGCAGACAAAGAGAGATGGAGAGAAAAGCAGAAAAGGGTCCATTACTTACTTTTTATATCTCCAATATTTGCACTGTAGATGTAAGTCATCTTACACCAGTGTCGTGGAGTAAACAGCCAACCCTACACCATGGACGAGTCGTGACTCTGACTTCCCTAAGCGGGCACTTCACATTTCAAACTTAAACCCGTCCGGAGGGGTATATAGTCCCTTATATTGATATATACCTTTATCTGGTGAAATAGTCATTTCTAGACCCTCTAGTTGCTTTGAAAAGTCTAAATTTTCAAACTTGCAACTGTGGGCTGAGTATTTCTGGTGTTTAATTCAAATATTCCTGTAAGCCTGTTTACTCCTTGGGCATCAATACAGGGACTTCTTTCCTAGAGACGCTTGCGGGGGTTTTCAGCAGGATTCTTTAGCCTGATCTCCAAAGTGTCAAGACGTGTATACAGTCTATAAATAAAATTGGCGCATTCAAAGTACCAGTTTTATCGTTGAAGAATTCCTAAGCTTGGGTAAGTTGATTATAGTTTACAAGTACCATAATATATGTCTTTTTAAAGTTGGCCACTGCTGCAAAGCGGGAAGATTCAGCTGTGTGATCTCACGGAGTTGGGCCGTTCCTGATGTCCAGAGATCAGGTTCCGAACATTAAACCTTTCCCTGTGCAGACTAAATAGTGTGAGCTCTACATAACCCACACCATTTGTAAAGATATTAAACCCTACAAGTAATTATTCTCTGACCAGACAAACGAAGTTTTGTGCCTCCTAGCAGAAATATGGAATCTGGGTCATCTTTTAACCGTTAACTGCTGTGACGTCAGAGCTAGACGCTCTGAGTCAAAGGTGTGTTTGACACAGAAACAGGGGTGTGTAGTGAACAGCCTGTGGAGACGTGAAATATATATATAGGTACTAACTGTATACATTGTATGTCTGCGAGTGCAGATATGAGGGTGGAGAGAGGATGACCTATGTGTGATAGTGTCTATCTCCGCTATATACCTTGTCTTCAAACTGGTATACTAGTTTACAGACAGATAAATTAAAGGAGACATTGTCTCCTGTTCTTGAGAGTTACACTCTGAGGAATGGAGAAGGGTAGCAGAGTGTGGGGTGAGCTGGTGTGTGAATAAAGATGATTACTAATTCTGAGTTCTTTCCTGACAGGATGATACCTCCGTAGAGATCAGGCAGACGAATCACAGTCCAGCCAACAACCACCAACCCATATATTCTCGGCACCAAGCATACCCAAAAGTCCTACCTATTGTTGCCACTACATAGTTCCAGGACTTGTGGACAATTGCAGACACCTATGTCATCAATCCAGAGAACCAGGTCTTCAAGAGCTTTGTTGGGTTCTTATGCAGTTCCTGTGTCCTCACCTGTGAGACAGTCAGTGGGTACCACAGTCTTCAAGAGCTTTGTTGGGCTCCTATGCAGTTCCTGTGTCCTCACTTGTGAGACAGTCAGCTTGTACCAGATCAAATCGAGGCATAGCTACCTATTGAGTCAACTAAAGTCGAATCACCATGGACTGAGGGGAGCATTGACCTACAAACTGGGATAAGTGATCTCTTATTCATATACATGCTCTCTTCCCACAGCTCCTTGCGATTCCTATGATGAACTCATGTAATAACCAAGAACTACATCTGGCTGCTTCAACATTTGGGTTGTGTCAATTCCTGAACTCCATTCACTGAACACTCTTGATTATTTATTCATTTATATATGTATATATATATTGACTTATTACATGCAGAAATTTTCATGGCTGACTTGGGTGTCCCTGTTTCACCATTCTAACTGTCTAGCTTTTATGTCTGTGTGAGTAATAAGTGTAATCTGTGTTAACATGGCTATTATAGTATACTATCATAACCTGGGGGTTACCTTTTTATAGAAGTGGGGGTGTCCAGCCAAGTGTGCCTAGGAATATTATATATTTTGTAGCGCCAAAGCTTGAGTTGCCCTACTCCTGAAATAAGTTGAGCATATATTGGCCACGGGATATCCCTTAGACCAATACGAGCTGACGTCTCAACATTATTATTTCAGAGTGCTGTTGGTTCTTAAGGAGAAATCCTTAAATCAGGCACGTGACGGGAGCGGTATGTGACAGAACACATACCCGCTGAAAATCTACCAGCCCTACAGGGGGTACGCTGATGCAGACGTTATGCACCTGTGACAATTTCTTTTCATGCTAAGGCGGGTATGCTGGCAATCACACATTTTTAGAACTCACAACACTCAACTAGTGATGTGGCCTATATCTTGCCAGCCGTTCACGCTTTCCGGGCAATTTCCAGATGCACATTTTAGGCTGTGCTGACCTGAATGCCTAGGTGACCAAAAACCCATGTCTAGAAAAGGCATGTGAATTCATTCATGCAAAGAGGCCGCCGACGGTGTTACAGGTATCTATGATATATGCACACAAAAAAACATAAGTGCTGTCTCCAGTGTACTGGGAATATTGTGAGGCCCCAATCTCTTCCTTGGTAAGACCTTTGTACCACAATCTGAAAACCTCAAGACATGGTTTAACTCAAACTACTGCTTGAAATCCAAGAGAAGTTATGAAAACAAACCGTCTACTTCAGTTCTCTAGGATGATCGAAATTGTGAAATGCGTTCAAAAACCTCTAAGCCACAGAAAGTAAAGGTTTCTTTTTTAGGCCTTCAGATGTATTGGGCAAACAGGGCCAGACCTAAATTTAACAGACTAACTGGCACTTGGCGGGTGATGTACTCAATAACATGATGGTCGCCTTTACTACCCAGGGCTTTACCTGGTTCTCATGTGAGGCTCGGCCAACATGGAAGTCAAGGTTATCTTTGGACAAAAACGTCAATCTCTGCCAGAACCAAAAGTTATTTTCTGATCCGCAGGTGAACGTCTATCCGCTACACCACGGCAGTTCCCTATAGTAAAAAAAAAGCTGCTCCGTATCAGTTAAAAATAATGTTCCTCTGGAGACGCACTAATACGCAAAGATGTTAAAAGTGACTGATAAAAATTCAGATTTGTGTTACCTTCTGAAGATCATCTAATTCCTCTGTATCACTACCAGCCAGGGCCTCCTCCTCTTCAAGGGTTCTTTCGTCGTCATAATCATGGACCATCATGTCAGCAGTCAGGTCAAAATCCTTGTCCGTATCTGTTGGATGTTAGAAGTTTTCGTGACTCTACTGTACCATATGCAACTGTCAACTTACATGGTAAATAACCGAGCTATCATAAATTATTTGTTGTAAAATAAAAAATCCATCAAATAATTTCCAATGATAGCTCAGTTATTTACCATGTCGTAATTGTAACAAACTCTGAAAGCATGCTAAGAAAGGTAAAGACAGGGATGCTTTGAACAGAGTGGCAGTGGAAAGGTCACGGGTAGTGAGCATGCTTTGGATCTTTTCTCCAGGCCATGCCAGCATAGTGGGTAATGAATTGATACATGACAAGGCAGATGTGGTTAAGGCCCTTTTGGAACAAGCAACAGAATTAGTAGGAAAAGAAAATTATTATGAGAATGAGGCACCTGGGTGTAAGCAGAGGGTCTGGCCGGCCCACTACACTCAGCGGAAAGACAAGACGATACCATCAGTATTGGAACTCTGTACTGGCTGCTGAAGATGAGGATGGAGCACACATGGGAATGCTTCGAGTGCTGTGATGTCAATTCTCTAGAAATCTTTTTTTGAACTTTTACAGATCTGAGCATATGGACATTCAGGTGTACAAGGCAATCAGCAGATTAACTACTGGCTGCTGCCGCTCTTCTGGGAAATTCGCTACTTTATAAGGCAGACGGGGGCCTGGTAAGTGATTCTACAGGGAGTGAGCTGAGGGTCGAGATCAAAAAAAAAAGGCGAAATATTTGCCAGACTGACTGGTGGTTGAGATACATATTAATATGTGGTTAAATACATGAATGGGAGGACATTACTGGTGGACCACCAGGAAACTGATGCGGACCGGAACAGGCCTGAAGACCACAGGCTAAAGAACATGGGTCTGGAGTATATTCAACATGCCAGGAAAAGTGGTGTCATCAACATGAGAATTTGTTGGCTACTTTGGTCTTAATGAGGCCCTTAGGAGAAGCAAGTGAGCTGCATGGTGTAGTGGCTAGGTGTTTGTCTACCGATCTAAAGACCATGTGTTCAAATCTGAACAAGTCAGACTTTTTTCCTTCAAAAATGACATTGGCTCCAAGGTTGACCCAGTCTTAAATGGTCACCAGATAAAGTCCTGGGAAGTAAAGGCGACTACATCACCCACTGAGTGCCAACTGGTCTAGAAAATACAGGTCTAGTACTAACTGCCTAATAGGCCTGGAAAAGGGTCCTTTCCTTCACTTATGGAAAACAAAAACAGGAATCTTACATTTAATCTGTTCCGTTGTAAAAAAAGCAAGTGAAGGTAAGGTTATGCTAGGAGTTGGTTCTATCATTACTTGAAACAGTAAAAAAAAAAAAAAAAAAAAAAAAAACAGTAGGAGGAGAGGTCTTGAAGGAAATGTGAATGCACAAGAATTAAATGGAAAGCCAGTTTCTTGAAGAAATGTGATCAACATGAAACTACATGAAAGTTGTTATGGTCTTCGAAGTTTTAAATTAGATCACAAATCTTAGTAAAGTCACTAGAAACTGACCTGCCATTCCTAAGGAATAAAAAACTTTGGCTCTCATACCCAAGGTTTATTTATGGGAAGTAAAGGCAACCACATCATCCACTGAGGGCTCAGTTTGGCGTCAAATACGCAAAAATCGTCCTTTATTTTTGTTTACTTAGAAATCTTTATCCCACGTGTACTGCGTGTTTTGTTGCGTTTCACGACATCAACCCTGAAAATGTATATTACTTTTGCCGCGGTATATTCGCCGGAAAGAAGTCTGCAATTTACATGTGATTGAGGCCATGTAAGGGATTTTTTTTTGCCGCCATAATATGTGGCCATTATTCAGAGGATAGCCCTGTTTTGTTTGGCTATCCTCCGAAAAACGGTCCTAAATTATCGAGGTGGAAAATATACCCTAACAAGGCCTCAGTCACATGGCAATTGCGCATTTCCGGCACTGCGGAGAGTATCTATAACCCACGCTGCATGGATTGGGGCTAAACTAGTGGCTGGAACTCACGAGCAGCTGCTACCACATCTCCTGCAGCTTCCTTCATTTTATTTGCTCGTGAGTACTAGGCATCTAGTTTAGCCCCAATCAACGCCGCGTGAGCGGCATAGGGGATACTCTCGGCGGAGCCGTAGGTCGCAATTCGGCAGTGGCGTTATAGTCCCTGGAAGTGCCCAACTGACAAGTGACTGAGGCCCTGTTAGGGTATATTTTCGGCTTCGATAATTTAGGACCGTTATTCGGAGGATAGCCTTTTGTTTTTTAAAACCCAGCTAACACAACTCTGCTCTTTGCTGCATGTCAAAAGTGTGGCGGCCATCTTTAAATTGTTATGGCGTCACATGTTCATCTGACCATGCGCTGTCACATGCTTACTACTCCTGACATCCTTACCGACAAGTTAAGACAAAGCTATTGCAATTTATATCACATTTTAAGGTTTCATTTGAAGCCACCAACAATTAAACAATAAATGGAGTGCTGCATAAAAGAAGTAAATTAATCTTACCTGGACTGCCAGTATCTGAATGGACCACCTGTTGAAAGGTTAAGAAACACATAAATGTCAAAGGAAGGTATAAAAACACAAGAAAAATTTGTACAGCCTAAAGCTGAAAAAACTTTTCACGTCTGACAGCAAGATGTTTTAAAAGTAACAATTTACCTGGTCAAGTTTGTCAAGGAAAAAAACACATGCAGGCTGAGTGGCCGTAAGCCACAAGGCAGAGAAGGGCTATCCTATCCGCTACCCACAGCAGATTGGGGGGGGGGGGGGGGGGGGGGGAGCTAAACTAGATGGCTGGGACTCACAAACAAATGAAGGAAGCTGCAGGAAATGCGGTAGCCGGGTAGCTGCTGCTCATAAGTCCCAGCCATCTAGTTTAGCCCCAATCCACAGCGCACGTAGCAGAGTGGGAGATTCTCTCGGTGGTGGCGGAAGTGCGCAACTGACATGTGACTGAAGTCCTGTTGAGGTATATTTTCGGAGGATAGCCCAGACAAAAAAACGGGAGAAAATATCCAGGCAAATTGAGACGTTACAAACATTAAAATTCACCTGATTAAGGTCTGTCAAAAAATATTACTTAAACATTACAAAAATTGGCTGTCCTTTAAATAAGGATCGCTAGCTGGAAGGCGACGGTCGCTTAGTCGAGTTCACTCCCTTGGCTGCAGTGCAAATAGTGGACAAGTCACGAATCAAAAACATTGTGGATGCTACTCAAACGGACAATGCGCCATCAATTGGGCACTAGCCACGCGCTAATGCCGCCATAGTTAGAAGTCCAGTAGCGCCACTCCCACAAGCAGCACAGTGTCGGCCACTATTAGGAACTCCTGCGTCAAAATTTTCACATATAGCGGATATTATGGGTAAGTACTCGACGCTACATGTGTTACCCTAACCCAAACCCTACCCTAACCCTAAGCAACCGTAGCATGACAGGTAAGTATGTCATTTGTTTCATTCCTCTTTACCACTCCATATTTGCACTGCAGCCAAGGGAGTGAACTCCGACTAAGCGACCGTCGCCTTCCAGCTAGCGACCGTTATTTAAAGGAAATCTCATACAGGCTGAATGGCTGTAGACCACAAGGCAGACCGAAAATATGGTGAAAAGATAATGTCCAGACAGAATAGACTACAGACCTAGAATAACAAACACTTGGATGAGTAACCAACCAACTAGAAAAAGAGAATAAATGTCGGCAGGTAGACACAACAAGAGGCAAGAGCAAAAAGGATAGGACGACTTGGTTAAGGCCTATGCTCCACTGAGGGATAAATATTTGACTTAAATAAAACAAGCTTACAAAAATGTTGGAATTTTAATTTGCGATTGAACTTGCCTGTTTTGTCAACACATGTTTAAGTTTAATGTTCTGTTTATGTTCCTCTTTTTGTGTACACATACACTTGACTGTAAACAATACATAGTATGGCTCTACTGGCAAATCCGGACGAAGAATAAACAGCCTTGGACGACTTAGTGAGAGTTCTCTCCTGTCGCCGCACTCCAAACAGTGATCGGAAAATCCACAACGAAACAAAGAAGACAGTCACGTCGACATCAGGGCTGCCAATGCTTGGTTGTTTCCCCCAGATCTGGGTTTTTTTTCGACGCTGCAGGTTTTTTTTTTTTGGGGGTGTGTTTTGTTTGTTGGTGTTTGCCAATTTGTATGCTTTAATGATCAATACATTTGCGTGGTTAGGGGGGTAGGGGTTAGGGTTAGGGTTAGGATTAGGGTTAGGATTAGCGTTAGATTTGACAATTTTGACGCCGGAGTTCCCTATAATCGCACACAGTCCCATACACACAAACAAACAATCGAGGGCCTCTGGATGCTGGTCACACGCACAATTCGCCAACGATTGGGGGCACCAACCGCACGCTATTGGCGTCATATTTGGCAGAGTTTCAGTGGCGCCACTCCCACAAACATCATATTGTCGGCCAGTATTTCGAAATCCTATGTCAAAATTTTCACATCTAACCCTAACCCTAACCCTACCCCTAATCACAATGCCTCGCGCAACCGTACGCAACTGTGCACGCAACCATATGATGATGCCACGATGTCTCACGCAACCGTACGCAGCCCTACACGCAACCGCAGGATGATAGGTAAGTTTGTCGTTTGTTTCGTTTGTTTTCCGATTACTGTTCGGAGTGCGGCGACGGGAGATAACTCTGACTAAGTCGTCCAAGTCTGTTTATTCTTCGTCCGGATTTGCCAGTAGAGCCCATAGTATTAACCCTTTAAAATTAAAAAAAAAGACAGGATTTTAATGTTATGTGGACAAAAGCACTGTAGAATTTATTTTAATTAACTTAAAGTTTACACATTTTATCAGCTGTAGTGTAGTGTCCAATGATCATGATTAAATTACTTATTACTGCCTTATTTCAATCTTTCTTAGCTAACTAAACTAATCTGCAAACAAGATAACTTGAACAATTTAATATTATAAATTGATTTTAAAAAAGTGCCAGTTGACTGCAGGCATAAATTTCTCGTTGAAATACTAATTTAAATTATTGTAAGTAGAAAATAAACAGCGATCTCGGACTGTCAATAAGAAACCTTACTACTGCCTTCTGTCTGTGAGAAGGGGTGTAGTAAGGTGGTGCGTGTGAAAACCTCACAGTACAGAGAAAGGTTTTCTCGAAATCATGCATATTGTAAAATTATTATAAAATACATCAGTAAACCCAATATAATCACGAGATAATACACATGCGTGAAAAAATATCATTACTTTGTTGTGAGTCAGAAAAATGAAAGAAAGGTCTAGCGGCAAGTATGCTCAGTAAAATATTTAGCTGCTCAATACTACACCATCTATTACCTCCGCCATTTGTAACCGAAGTTCCCCAACTTTCAAAACGAGGCTTCAGTTCTATCCCGGCGCTCTCCTTCACATTGAGACAAGAGTTTTCATTGGTGGGACTATTTTATTTCATGTTGGGGAAAAATATTAATTAATTGTAAATGTAAAGTAACAGTAAATATTATTTATCATTCTGTTATTTGTTTTAAATGTTTTAACATTTTAGAGCTTTTAAATATTATGTTTTATCCCATTATTTGCAGGCATAAACAATATTATTAATCCGCTATACAGCTATGACCCAATGAAAACTGCCGTAAGAAAGTTAAACGTTTCTAACAACAACAGGAAAAGTCCACCCCACGGCAGACACGCCTATTTTGTTGTGGACTTGCGAATGAGATATGAACATTATTCATCTAAAGAGCACAATACAGATCATCAGGGCTATTCACCTAAGTTTACTCAGCGGCCAACATTTTTAAGGTTTAGTGTACCCCCGACGACGGTTCCCAAGTAACCTGACGCCCAGACAGTGGGGTTTCACTATCAACAAAATATTGTGTCCCATGTCGGGACGAGTTATACTCCGTACCCCCCCCCCCCCCCCCCCCAAAAAAAGCCATAGTCATTAGTCTTGGTCGACGTTTCAACTTCACTGCATACTTGCTCCGTTCCTGTGCCAGTAGTAGTAGTAGCAGTAGACTTTCTTACCCACCAGGACATCAAACAAGCGATAAACACCCGATGACACAAAGTGCCACCATGTGGATGAGGATCACCGTGGAGAGGTCCCAGAAACCGCGTTCAGCCATTAAACCATGTTTATAGTCGGGCTATATTGCGACCCCTGGGAAGAGCCAGGGTGGGGCTTCAAATAACGAAAAATTGCATCTCACAAGGAGATGACTGGATCGTAGTGTTAAATATTACGTTCCTGTGCCAGTGCGAATCAGTTGAAATGTTCCTCACTGTCTCATTTAAAAAATTGGTGAACAAACAATTAGTCCTGGAACAATCTAGAAATATGCGCACGCAGTAAATGCATATTTCAATTGCTAGAGGTGTCAAAGCCAACAGTGGCCATCAGAAATGCAGTTTGTCGTTGATGGAAGCAGTCGCGCACGATAAGATACACACGTAGAATTATTACATAAGGTATTTTGCCAGCTTATACGTCAACCGCCTACCGGCCATATTTAATCCCATGACACAACCGCTGCACAAATGAAAGGCATTCCACGGGGGCTGCACCAAGCAATACAACTCAGTATCTCAGGCAGCGACACTGTCAACATCATGCAACCCGTCGATAAGCTTCGTCAGTTCGCCATCTCATATCCGATCTCTGCCTCTCTCTTTCTCCCATCACCATCATCATCATCGTCGTCTTCCTCTATCCACTTTCCCGTCGTCTTTCTCTACCCCCTTTCCCATCGCCTTTCTCTGATCCATTTCCCGTCGTCTTTCTCTATCCCTCTTCTGTCGTCTTTATCTATTCACTTTCCTGTCATCTTTATCTATGACCTTACCCGTCGTCTTTCTCTATCCCCTTTGCCATCGTCTTTCTCTATCCCCTTTCCCGTCGTCTTTCTCTATCCCCTTTTCCGTCGTCTTTCTCTATCCCCTTTCCCGTCGTCTTTCTCTATCCCCTTTCCTGTCGTCTTTCTCTATCCCCTTTGCCGTCGTCTTTCTCTATCCCCTTTCCCGTCGTCTTTCTCTACCCCCTTTCCCATCGCCTTTCTCTGATCCATTTCCCGTCGTCTTTCTCTATCCCTCTTCTGTCGTCTTTCTCTATCCCCTTTCCCGTCGTCTTTCTCTATCCCCTTTCCCGTCGTCTTTCTCTATCCCCTTTCCCGTCGTCTTTCTCTATCCCCTTTGCCATCGTCTTTATCTGTCCCCTTTCCCGTCGTCTTTCTCTATCCCCTTTTCCGTCGTCTTTCTCTATCCCCTTTCCCGTCGTCTTTCTCTATCCCCTTTTCCGTCGTCTTTCTCTATCCCCTTTCCCGTCGTCTTTCTCTATCCCCTTTCCCGTCGTCTTTCTCTATCCCCTTTCCCGTCGTCTTTCTCTATCCCCTTTGCCGTCGTCTTTATCTGTACCCTTTCCCGTCGTCTTTCTCTATCCCCTTTTCCGTCGTCTTTCTCTATCCCCTTTTCCGTCGTCTTTCTCTATCCCCTTTCCTGTCGTCTTTCTCTATCCCC